AAGACTTAACCTAACCGATTTAACCCCCATATATCCCGAAATAGCCAACATAACATAAAACGTCTAAAAAACAAATAAACCCACTTTAATGATTGTCTAACATCCCATCCCCCTTGAAACCCACCTTGCCCTCAAGGTGGACCTTCTTTCTTCTCGTCCTTCTTCTCCTCCGTGTCTCGCGCTTCCATCTCCTCCCCTTCATCTTCCTAGTTTCCCACCAGCAGCATTAGGTGTCCCTTGGAACATTGCTGTCCCACCGTGTACCTCTCGTCGCACTTAAAGCATCGACCGTCTCTGCGCTTCTGGTCCATTTCCGCCTGAGTTAGTCGGACAAACCCCTTGGGTGGCAGCCTTGACTGGAACCTGTTCCCCGATGCTGTCCCTGCGGCCTCCGGGCTTGCATTTCCCGACGGTGGTGAAGTACCAGCTCCTGCTCCCAATCCTCCGTTGGCCTTCTGAATACGCCCAGCCGACGTCCTCCAACTAGCCAACTCCTCTTCCTTGCGTCTTGCAATCCTGAAAGCAACTCGAAGAGAGTCAGGTTCAAAAACCTTAACGGCGGTTGCCAGCTCAGGACGGAGTCCTGCCATACACAGTCCCACCAGCGTCTCCTCCGTCATTTCCTTACACTAGTTTCCCAGCTTAAGGAACTTTGCGCGATACTCGGCCACCGACCCTGTCTGCCTGAGCTTGGTCAGCTGTTCCGGAGCCCACCCCTCCGCCTTGCCAAACTGATTGCGCATCTCATCCTGGAACCTGGGCCAATATATGATCTCACCTGCTGCTGCATAAGCTCTCTCGGTCCATTCCCACCACTGGAGGGCGTCTCCCTCAAGATAGAAGAAAGCAAGATGCGCCTTCTGTTCTTCTCGGATCGGGTGGTTTCTGAACCACCTCTCAGCTGCATACAACCATAGACCCACATCCCCCGAGCCGTCGAACTTGGGAAATCACTGGCGATTTAGCTATGAATACTAATTCCTCTTCAGTCTCATACAGAGGGTTACTGTATTCATACCTGCCAGTGTTCGGTGGGGGCGGTCGGTTCATCGGGCCTCGCTGGTAGTAGCTGCCCGCGGCTCGCTGCTGGGGAGGATAGGGCCAGTCGCCTGTCACCTCCTGATAGTTCCCGCCATACTCGGGCTTGGTCCCCGACCCTTGTCCAATATCCCGACAGCCTCGACCTAGACCTCCCGCACCTCGCGGTGTACTCCACGACGGGTACCCGTACTCCTGGCCCCTGCCGAGACCACTGCCCGGCCCGCCCCAGCTGCTGTCCGCCGGTGGTTGACCCGACCCGGGTCGGTTCGTTCCAGTTCTTCCATGACCGGTTCGGTTCGGACAGGTTGGCAGCACATTGACCCGCCTGCGGGTCCACCATCCCGCCCCATCTGGCCTCTTCTGGGCTCGGGTCTACCCTACCCTCTAGGTCACCGAAACTTAGTTCCTCCTTCCCGGGCCCAATCGGCCAGGGTTCTTCTCCGTCGGGCCCAGTCGGCCACGGCTCTCCTTCGTACCCCACTATCTTCTACTTCCCACGGGCCTTGTCATGTGTCAGATTTGTCGGCGTCGGCAGCAATCCAGGCCCGCTGAATGTAGGCGCGGGTACGCTCCTCGAACAAAGTTCCCGAATCTCCGGCTCGGCTGCGCGGCAAGGACCGCACGGCCCGCGTCGCCCCCGCCTCGTCACCTTCGACCGACGGCTTCTCCTCCGCCGCCTCCTCCTCCCTGCGCACCACCACCGCAGTCCGCCAAGCGCCCGCGCCGTCGCGCGGCGCCTCCGCCCTACTGCGCCCCGGAGCCCGCCGCGGCCGCTGCTAACTGGCTCCACCCCCGCAGCGGCTGCTGCTTTTGGCGCCGCCACCATAGCCGGGATCGCCAGCGGCTCCCGGTTCTTCAGAACTTGGGTTAACACCTCCTGCATCGTCGCTGTCAGGGCTCCGCAGATGTTTTCAGCCACGCTCTTGCCCATCTCTTCAATGGAAGCCTGGATCTGGTCGCCCATGGCTTCAATGGCTCCAATCGAGCCCTTCGAGGCCTCTGCTGCCCTCACAGTCACCTCTGTCAGGCTCTCCAACGATGCAGCCAGCGCATCATACTTGTTCATCGTCACATCCTTGACTGTCACCACCTCCTTGTGCTGGCACGACGGTTGTTGCTTGTCCGCAGGGTTCGACATCTTCAGCTGCAGTATTTCTTCAGAGAATCGGCACACCAACCAGGCTCTGATACCACTGAAAGAGCATGGATCTAGTTGTGCGATTGAGGATCGTGATTGGTATGAGAATTAGGGATTTGGGTGAGGAAGAATTTGGGAATTAGGGTTGAGACAAGAGGATTCCGATCACCAAGGTGATGGCCGACGGTTTGGAGAGGGAGAAGGGGAACTCGGCAATGAGAGAGGGAGAGAGAGTGATTAGGGAATGCTTCTGTTGTTATTGCTTAACCCTAGCTTAGGCCTAACACAGAATATATATAATCCGACTAATTCCCTATGAGTACCCAAAGACTTAACCTAACCGATTTAACCCCCAAATATCCCGAAATAGCCAACATAACATAAAACGTCTAAATAACAAATAAACCCCAATTAATGATTGTCTAACATCCCATCCCCCTTGAAACCCACCATGCCCTCAAGGTGGACCTTCTTTCTTCTTTCTTTGTGTACCTCTCGTCGCAGTTAAAGCATCGACCGTCTCTGCGCTTCTGGTCCATTTCAGCCTGACTTAGCCGGACAAACCCCTTGGGTGGCAGCCTTGACTGGAACCTGTTCCCCGATGTTGTCCCTGCGGCCGCCGGGCTTGAATTTCCTGACGGTGGTGAAGTACCAGCTCCTGCTCCCAATCCTCCACTGGCCTTCTGAATACGCCCAGCCGACGTCCTCCAACTAGCCAACTCCTCTTCCTTGCGCCCTGCAATCCTGAAAGCAACTCGAAGAGAGTTAGGTTCAAAAATCTTAACGGCGGTTGCCAGCTCAGGACGGAGTCCCGCCATACAGAGTCCCTCCAGCGTCTCCTCCATCATTTTCTTACACTGGTTTCCTAGCTTAAGGAAATTCGCGCGATACTCGGCCACCGACCCTGTATGCCTGAGCTTGGCCAGCTGTTCCGGAACCCACCCCTCCGCCTTGCCAAACTGATAGCGCAGCTCATCCTGGAACCTGGGCCAATATATGATCTCACCTGCTGCGGCATAAGCTCTCTCAATCCATGCCCACCACTGGAGGGCGTCTCCCTCAAGATAGAAGGACGCCAGATGCACCTTCTGTTCTTCTAGGATTGGGTGGTTTCTGAACCACCTCTCAGCTGCATACAACCATATACCCACATCCCCCGAGCCGTCGAACTTGGGAAACTATCACTGGCAGTTTAGCTCTGAACACTAATTCCTCTTCAGTCTCATACAAAGGGTTACTGTATTCATACCTGCCTGTGTTCGGTGGGGACGGTCGGTTCATCAGGCCCTGCTGGAAGTAGCTGCCCGCGGCTCGCTGCTGGGGAGGATAGGGCCAGTCGCCTGTCACCTCCTGATAGTTCCCGCCATACTCGGGCTTGGTCCCCGACCCTTGTCCAATATCCCGACAGCCTCGACCTCGACCTCCCGCAGCTCGCGGCGTACTCAACGGGGGGTAGCCGTACTCCTGGCCCCTGCCGAGACCCCTGCCTGCACGCCCCAGCTGCTGTTTGCCGGTGGTTGACCCGAACCAGTTCGGTTCAGACTGGTTTTGCCTGGACCAATTCGGATCGGACGGTTGGCCGCCCATTGACCCACCCGGTTCAGCCCGCCTGCGGGTCCACCATCCCGCCCCATCTGGCCTCGTCTGGGCTTGGGTCCAGCCAGGCCTCTGGGTCACCGAAACTCAGTTCCTCCTCCTCACCGGGCCCAATCGGCCAGGGTTCTTCTCCGTCGGGCCCAGTCGGCCACGGCTCTCCTTCGTACCCCGCCATCTTCTGCTTCCCACGGGCCTTGTCATGGGCCAGATCCGTCGGCGTCGGCAGCAATCCAGGCCCGCTGAATGCAGGCGCGGGTACGCTCCTTGCGCCCAAGGGTCCCGGCACTCCGACACGGCTGCGCGGCACGGCCCGCGTCACCCCCGCCTCGTCACCGCCGACCGGCGGCTTCTCCTCCGCCGCCTCCTCCTCCCGGCGTACCACCACCCCGGTCCGCTCAGCGCCCGCGTCGTCGCGCGGCGCCTCCGCCTTCCTGTGCCCCCCAGCCCGCCGCGGCCGCTGCTGCTGGCTCCAGCCCTGCCGCGGCTGCTGCTGTCGGCGCCGCCACCATAGCCGGGATCGCCAGCGGCTCCCGGTTCTTGCGGACTTGGGTTAACACCTCCTCCATCGTCGCTGCCAGGGCTCCGCAGATGTTTTCAGCCACGCTCTTGCCCATCTCTTCGATGGAAGCCTGGATCTGGTCGCCCATGGCTTCAATAGCTCCGATCGAGCCCTTCGAGGCCTCTGCTGCCCTCACAGTCACCTCTGTCAGGCTCTCCAACGATGCTGCCAGCGCATCATACTTGTTCGTCGCACATCCTTGACTGTCACCACCTCCTTGTGCTGGCGCGGCGGTTGTTGCTTGTCTGCAGGGTTCGACATCTTCAGCTGCAGTATTTCTTCAGAGAATCGGCACACCAACCAGGCTCTGATACCACTGAAAGAGCACGGATCTAGGTGTGCGATTGAGGATCGTGATTGGTATGAGAATTAGGGATTTGGGTGAGGAAGAATTTGGCATTTAGGGTTGAGAGAAGAGGATTCTGGTCACCAAGGTGGTGGCCGACGGGTTGGAGAGGGAGAAAGGGAACTCAACAATGAGAGAGGGAGGGAGAGTGATTAGGGAATACTTCTGTTGTTATTGCTTAACCCTAGTTTAGGCCTAACACAGAATATATATAATCCGACTAATTCCCTATAAGTACCCAAAGACTTAACCTAACCGATTTAACCCCAAATATCCCGAAATAGCCAACATAACCTAAAATGTCTAAATAACAAATAAACCCCAATTAATGATTGCCTGACGGTACCGAATGAAAAATATAGATGCATTTATAAAAGAAAAACTACGCTGGCTCAGTAAATCCAACGCTACATCAGGCTTTTTGCAATAAACATCACAAAATAGAACAAACATCTTTTAGAGGTTTGACGGTACAAACTTTCTACATTGAATCGAAACTGGAAATTAACAGCAGAACTTACTACATACAATCAAGGCAACTATAGCGAGTTTGCATGGAACTGAAAAAATTGGTTCCCCAGCGGCTTCCTCCTATGTATATTACGTCAGTTAACTCACAAATCTAACCTACTAAAACAGGCACGAAAGCAAGTACCAGAAAAAGTGAATCCACCTGGTTTGTAAGTAAGCGGATCCAATACTTACTTTGACCCATCTTTGTAATTACAAAGAGAGGAGATTTGGCGGCTATCCCCCTTCCCAACACTGCCTGGAATATTACCGCATGCTGCTTCCTCGACAGGAATGAGTCTGCTCTCTTCTCTTCATTGCATCACCCACTAGCAGCGGTATAGAGTACGAATTGAGTATCACTACATTACAATATACTAATGTCCCGACAGTTGGGCAGTTCTGCTGCTACCAAGCAAATTCATCGGTTAAACGATGCAGCTGAATTGTCGTCATATTGTCCCCTCCACGCGTTGCCACTGTCAGTTCCGCTGCAGGCTTGGTTGGGAACAGGCACATTACCAAGGTCCCCGTCCAAGCTCATCTGTTGGACTTCGACGGATGAGAGTATCTTTATGCTTTGTACACAACTCACAAACTCTCTGCATTTGAAAACATGTTTTATTGAGAGGATGAATAGAAGCAAATACATTATTACAACAATAGTGATAGAAGCTTAGTGTCTTATTGGCACTTACTCCCAAGGGTCATCTCCAACAAGCAATATGTCGTTTTCATGATCCACGTAAACTAGCTTCCAGTCAGAACTTTGTGGGTCTTCCAGCTGCCCTTCAATACCAAACATCCGGGCTAGATCATGTCTCAGTTCATCATACCCTTTATAACGAGTGACATCAATGGATCTTCCAACAGAACCACGCTTTTGAACCTATCAAGTACAAGCAGAGGGTTAGAAATGAAAAGGCTGAATAAAGTTTAAAGGGGCTATTCAGGGATGTTTGAAACCAGCTCAAAGTATAGACATTCTTACTTCTTGGATGAATGCTTCTGGACTGGGAATTGAAAAAAAAAAAAAAAACAAGACGCCATCTATTTTTCAGTCGACACCCTGAAGAAAGTATTTTCATTCTCATTTGACTAACTTTTATGGTAGATTAGGAGCAGCAACCAATAACGAACCCATCCACCAAAACAGCACTAGGCAAGGTGAGATTGGAATGCTAATGCATACCTTAGTATACGTTCGCATCCGTTGGGTCTGATTGCCCCACAACCCATTATTCAGAACACCAGTATCATTGATAGCGACATCAGTAGAACATGACGGTTTAAAAGGCATGTTAGGAACCCCAAATGACTGTGAGCTTATCCCAGCAGTAGACAACTCTGTCTCGATATCCCTTGGATTAGATCCATAGTTAGAGAGCAAGTTCTGAAGATCCTTTTGAGAGTCAAATCCCCTTGACAGCAGACTATCAGGCACCAACCCTTCAATATTAGCTGAGAAAGGAAGACTGTTGTTCCTTGAATGTGATTGAGCATCACCATCCAAACCAAAGGAAGGCAGTCCAAAATTCTGCTGGTTAGTAGCACCACCACCTGGTTCTAGACAGTATGATGTTCCAGAAGAGGAAGCCTCCAATGGCTCAGTAACAATACTTTTGTACTTCAGTCGCTCTGAACCTTTTGAGCCAGGAAATTCATGTTTAATCCGGCCATCCGATTTACCATGGACATCTAGCAGGATGAGATTATTTGCAGGCTCTACAACTGAATCTCCCATCGAAACTTGACCTGCTGGGGCTTGCTGGCTTTTGTTCAAGAAATGTGGTAGCGGAATTTGACAGTTGTTCGTAGAAGGCGAGGATGTGGAACAAGATGGTGCCTCTCCATCCGTAAGTGTGGACGGTGCTCTAATTGGTGTAGGTAGCTTCTGCACACCTTGAGACTGGTTGGCAGGAAAAGATTGGGGTTGCATTAGCCCTGATGTTGAGAAGCTGCTGGCATTGCTGAATACTGGCTGTTGACTTTGTAGCAGAGGTGACTGCTGCAACTGTTGGTTTTGCTGATATGCCTGTTTCTGTACCATCTGAGGCTGCAGAAGTGAGCTTGTGGGAGAGAAAAACTGCTGCTGCTGTTGCTGCTGCTGTTGATGTTGCTGCAACTTCTGTAGCAACTGAAACTGTTGTTGGTCTGAGAGGCCTGTTTGTGACATTTGTTGCATCTGTACCTGAGCCTGTGGTTGTGCTCTCTGTGACGTGCTGCTATGGTGTAGCAACTGAAGAGAGGATTGCTGCAATTGAGGCTGCTGGAGAATATGCCTCTGCAGCTGACCAGGCTGCTGCTCTTCAGCCTGTTGTACCTTCACGTCTTGCTGTAGAGATGTTAGCTGATATGAAGTCTTAGTAAGAGAAGGGACAGTCTGAGTTGGCATATTGCTCACTGGGAACTGTTGCTGCTGAATTTGAGAATATCCAACTGCATGCTGGAAACTTTGGTTTGGAATCTGATTACTCACAGCCGATGCCTGGAATATCTGCTGTGGCTGTGACTGCTGCTGTTGTAATTGCTGTACATGTTGTTGTAGTTGCTGGGACTGTGGTTGAGGTGCCTGTACCTGTTGCTGCTGAGTCAGCTGATGTTGCTGCAATTGTTGTTGTTGTTGCTGCTGCTGCTGCTGCAGTCTTTGCTGTTGCTGCTGCTGTTGTTGCTTCTGTTGCTCTTGTCTTTCCTGTTGCTGTTGTTGTTGTTGGATATTAACAGGTTGATGTGCCTGTTGGGAAGAAGGTGGTTGTTGCTGATTAGGAGGATTCTGCACCATCTGCTGCTGCTGCTGCTGCTGCTGAGTCCATGTTGCAGCTGACTGAGGCAACTGGCTGACCTGGCTTGGCTGGTTTGTCTCGTTAAACTGGATACCAGATGTAGATATCCCAGGGGCTTGAAAGTTGAGTAACTTCGTCGGATCATCAGCTACCAAGAAGTTATTATGCAAAGCATTGGATGGAATCATGGAGGGGAAAAATCCTGACTGAGCTGATGGGAACTGATTATTGTTTTGTTGCATACTCATCCACTGAACCAAGCTAAGTCCAGGAAATATTGAGCTTTGGGCTTCCTTCATACCAAAGTCATCAGCTAGCCACGGCATAGCTCTTTTAAAAGCATTCTCGATATCAGACTCATCGTCTGCAGAAGGAAAGAAAGCAATGGTCCTACCTATCAGTTTGCAAATAAGCACACGAGAGAACGGTAAATTTTGGAAATCATACAATAATGAAAACCAAAATTTTGAAGAGTTGGGTCTTAGATTCAGATATTCTTTCACCTAGACATGTAACATAGAGACCGCTCTTTTTCAAGCACTTAGCATCATGACAACTCAACTAACATTAACACTTCAGTTGAAAAAAAGTATAATCAAAAGGAAGTGAAAGCTAAAAGCAGCACCAAAATATTGGAGCAAGAGACGCTATATTATTGGGTAACAAAACATGATATCCCGTTAAAGCTCAAAGTCACCAAAAGACAAGAAAAAGACAAGTTACCTGGCATTCCAGGCTGTTTAGGGAGCCTGGGTCTGAAGAAGGGGGGTGGGCATATGTAGAATGGGGTAACAACAGGCTCAATATCCCATACAGAAACTCGACTGGGTCGTTCACCAGCAGTTGATTCATCCCAGCCAACCTTCGGATATAGAGATACATGAATTAGCCTATGAAAAAGTTAATATTTGGTGTAGACAATACGATTATAGGTAAAGTAAATATTTGCAGGAATCAAGCTCTAGTTATCAATCACCTCTGACTTAGAGATACCAACGATACCTGAAGATTGCGCCACTGTGAATTTTTCCACCGCACAGGATCTAAATCACTAGTGGCTGTCACTGTTCCCATGTATCTACGGACTCCTGACTCTTCTGTCTCAAACATCATCCTGAATCTCATTCCAAGAGATACTTGTGTATACATTGCTTTATTATACTTGGAGAAAGGAATCACGAACTCAGAAGGGCTTGCCCTGGTTAAGATCAGTTTTAATTTCAACAGATAAAACAACCTTCAAAATCTGGGAATGTAGTGTTTACAGGACAAGTTGGAAGAGAAATGAACAAGAGAAGCAGCAGTACCTAGGATTGTAGAAGACAGTGAAAGGACTGTGGTTGGCAGCAGCATGAGCTGCAGCAGCAAGAATCCCAATATGCATGCTGTCGCTTGATATGACCGACGAGGAGAGAGGCGGTTGCTGCCTATTTGCACGTCTGATACCCAAAAGCAGCTGCTGTTTCTCATCCCTATATCAGATAACAGTGATTTCAACTTCAGAGGATAATATCAAAATGACAAAAGCTTCACCAAATCACCGACCCATCCCATACCTAATGAAGAGAACTGAATCGCCGGCAAAAAGTCTTTTAGTGCTAACAAAAACACTCCATCCTGTCGTAAGCAAATGTCTTTTTGGTTGGCCTGCCACAGACAAGACAGCATTCTTAAGGTTACCAACCACCAAGGGGGGAAAATTGCAAAGTAGTTTCAACAGTATGAGATATGTGGAGAAGTCCTAATCTGTTTGTTGGCTAAGCCGCGCATAATTGTGGAGTTGCAGACAACATATTCATGAATTTTATTAGTACCACACAAGCAAGCCCAGAATGTCTCTTTTATATCAACTGTTAATCACACAACTGTGCAAGCTTATCAAGTTCGGAAAGAGGATTTACCGCGATAAATATGCCTGAAGGTCCATGCACTGTCATGTAGATCTCTGGCTACTAGCTCCTGGGCAGGTGGTTGCATTGAGTAATCCTGTTTCAACATGAACAAATGAGGGGGAGAATGGAAAGATTAATACAACATGCCACAAAGAACAGGAGGATCTCAAGTTGTAGATTAAAGAAGATGGCACTCACAAGAGGTGGGAATATTTTCTCTGCAGCTCTTCGAGGCACAGAGAATCCACCATGAGTGCTTGTATCACTAGCTGTAAGCGTTTTACAGAAGAATTCAGCAGGTTGTCTATTCTGCTTCAGGCCCATATCAGATGCTATCAACGCTTCCCTGTCACACTGGAATATACACCACGGTGCAAATGTTCAGTTTGGTAACAGAGAGACATACATGATGATGCTCTTTTTCCGGCAATCTCCTACGTTGATTACAATACTGATACAAAATGGCTGACCTACTTTGCTTACGGGTTGAAGGGTCATTTGTGCATACACCTCATCAGTTTCCGGATCAGCCTGATCAAACATAATTGCGAAAAATGAAACAAACGGCAGAAAGAAAATTAGTACAATTTCACTTTCTTTTCCATCCGCAGATCATAGCCACTTGCTATCTGCAAACAGAGGAAAACCAACCAGCACGAAGCATGCAAGAGAACTAATAGCAAGGTACATTAACAACATACTACAGAGCATTATTTCTCATACCACCCAAATTGTTTTTCCTTAAGGAAGTGATAGCTCACTCCACTCACAGTTCACTAATCATTAATACTGCACAGAAACAAAACGAGTACAAGAACAATGGAGGGGATTTCATACATGTAAGGTGACATTATGAAGCATGCAAATCAACTTTGAAGGAAGATTTGGGTAGTTTGGTATGCAGTCTGTCTCCTTCTGCATAGATGCAGCAACCTGAAAAGTTTTTTTGTCAGACAAAAATGGTTACATCTGATACGAAGCATCTACCAACCCTGCATTTTACACAGTCTCATGGAAACGAGATTTACCTGCTCGCTATGGCCTTGAGGAAAGTAGACAACAAGACTTCCAACCGGAGGCATAGAGACCAACGGGCCAGCACAGGCATGCCATAACTCTGAGTTAATAATCTTCCTTTCGCCTGTTAACAAAAAGTAAACAATGTCACAACACAAACCCAAAGCTGAGCAGTTGCATGAAACTCCAACATTTCCTTGTTCATAGCAGCTATCTTCAAAGTAAAATGCCAAAAGCAACCCCAGCTTGGGGACTCCATTGACAAAATCCTACTCAGTTCTTCCTCTCTCCTTTGTTTTTTATTTAGGTCTTTTGTAGTTGACTAGGGAAGTTCATAGTCTTAAAAACAATATACCGACCATTTCACCAGAACTTTTACAATACAGGATTTAAGCACTGTTTGGTCCAGCTAGAAAATATTCATATATACGAGAGAAACGCTGTGGACATCAGAACCTAAACAGTTCCTATATCCTGGAGAGTATTTATAACCAGATAATGCCAGAGCGATGTTACTGAAGAAAACGCCAGCCTACATGTTTCTCTGTACTGATCCACAGAGAGAAATGGGTAGAGCTTGGGAAGTTGAAAAACTTGAACTCTTCCAACTTTATAGTCTAAACTGTTCTAGATCAGATAGCAGTGGAACACAGCATGTATGTTTCACTACTTCAATCACAAGAGAACTGAAACCATAGATGGGCCGAATGGAACTTAGTTTAATTATGCACAGCAGGAGATCATTGAAGAAGAGATGATAAACGAGATTAAACCAAAATCAATCAATCCGGGGACATGGGATATATATATGTACTTGGACTGTAAATGGCAAACACAACCTGCTTCAAAGGCATCCCTTACTAAAATATTGGATTCTTTTCTGTCCAAAATTACTTGAAAAATACGAATGCTTCAGCTCTTTTACAGCAAGATGAACCCTTGGGAATTCAGGGGGAAAAAAAGAGAGACATTGACCTTTGGGAACAGATTACAGCTGTTGCCATCCATCTCTTGAGGGTTAAATATACTGTCAAAGCTAATTTCCGTGTTTTTTTATTTGAATAGCCACTCCAAAGGGAAAATGGAAAAGTTGGTCGGAAAGCTATAATTAGAAAGAAATGTAGGTTCAGATTTCCTTGTTTCTTCCCCTTTCAAGCTGAAGAAATTTGAAGGAGACGAACTGTTATTGAAATAAGGGGGCAAATCTCTGGGTTTTCCAAATGATTTTTGACGAGGAGACGAAAATGAAAACAGCCGATGACTCCAAAAGAAATTCAATCGGGAAGAAGCAAAAACCAAAATCCATAAAAAAAAGGGAGAAGCCATAATCCAAAAACAAGCAATGGGGGCCTACCTTCAGCAGAATTTGGCAGGAACCCATTTGAAGGAATCTTCATTTTGTTGCCAAAGATTTCAACTTTTGCCTTCCCTATTTCCCAAATCCAAAATAACCGTCACTACTCACTACTAGAGGACGAGCTCCAGCCCCAGAAACACCATTTCGCCAAGGCTTCGCAGCAGCAACAGTGAAAGTAAAGGAAGCTTCAGAGCTTCAATCCCAAGAAAGCGGAAGAAGCTTTCCTTCTTTCCTGAGCTACGAAAAAGAGAACAGAAGGGAATCTAACGAGGAACTTCCTTTTTGTTGGTTTACTTCCTTCTCTTTTGTTCCTTCCTCTAACAAAGTGGAAATGGAGGAATGTTCAGTAAAGTGAAATTCTCATCCGGGAGCTCACAAATCTTCGAAAAGGAGAGAAATGGAGAAAGTGAAATTCTCAGAGCCCATAGGCATCAAGCTGAAAGGAGAGACAATAACAATAATAAGATAATAACAAAATGAAGAAAGGAGAAGAGAAAGAAACTGACTTGTCGCCGAGAAAACAGAGGCCGAAACACGGAGAAGCAGAAAGGCAAATAAAAAGCAAGACAGCCTTTTTCTTTGTTCTTTTTCTCCTCTTTCTATTGTTTTTTATTTTTTCATTTCTCCCCGCTCTTAATTTCTGACAATTTTTTCCAGGGAACAAACACCAAGCCGACATATAAGCATATAATGGACTGAGACAGTCACCGCCTCCTCCTCTCCCTATTCCGGTTAAAAAATTAACAAATTGTAAGAACCTATTATTAACAGCCAATAAAAAATCAAAAAATGGCTAAACTTTGTTATGTTCTTAGCGGACAACAATGTTGGCTCTGGTCGTCTCATTAAATTCCCCAAGTATAAAATTCACCGCAGATTTCACGTCAATTGATTCCTCCACTAAGGTACTTTAATAATCACCAAGCATATTGCTCCCAAAAACCACTAAGCAAGCACTTCCATCCCCTTTTCCAATCACAACCGTTATTCGGAATCGGTGGCTCCCTCGCTGAAACACCCAAATTGATATTATTTAGTCCTCATATTTTAGGTGTTTTCAATCGTTTAATGATTCTGATTGTCAATATATTGTCGTCATTTGCATCATGAATTCGTTCCTCGAAGCATTCAATGTCATTTTAGAGGTGCATTCGACGATATATGCATTTTAGGCATAAAAAAGGGTCACAAGTGTAGATAGAGTCAAAATGGAAGATCACGAGTGTAGAAGGGCCAAAGATCATGGCCGAGAAGTGGAGCCCGTGAACTTCAGCTAAAGATCGCAGCCTCCATAGAAAGATCGCGATCTTGGAGAATTCAACCGTGAACTAGACGAAGCGGCAACCAAGGTAGAGAGAAGGTTTCGACAGTTGATTCGCAACCTTCCACTTTCGAGACTGCGATCTCCCGTGCAAGCAGAGCCACAACGTCGCTATCTCAAGATCGCGACCTCTCCACTGAAGATCACGGCCTCTTCTTCTCCAACCTTATGAATAGGGCTCTTCCCCCAATTCATAAGTAGAAGGTTGGAGAAAAAGAGGAGAAGAAGAAGTGGAAGAGAGCCTTGAAGGAAGATTTTCCAGCAGAAGAAGACCCTTTTTGTTATTTCTCCCCCTCCCCTTTATGGAGTAGTTCCTCAAGATACTTTGGTGATTAGTCCCCCAAACCTAACCTAGGGTTTGATATGTAATTGGATATTTTTTCGCTTGATTTGTGGATGATTATGAGCTTATTTATCTAGGTCTATTTGGTGATTGTTCTTTCTTTACATCAAATAGTGTGGGATTGTTTGTATCTCATTTGTCCTAGTTGCAACTTAGGTGGTAGGGAATTTATGACCCTATTTCATGTGATTTATGGATGAATTGTGTTTGCCTACAGTTCTTATGCTCCATTTATGATTGTTATGCTTTGGATTTGCCTCTCCATGTATTATCTATGATTTCCTAGTTAATTAGGGTTTGATCTAGACAATGATGGCAATGGGGCGGGGGCATGAAGGGTAATTTAATACCCATGCCCACCCCAGGCTACTATGGGTCGGGGTGGGTCGACCCACTCTTAAATGTTATATGAAAAAAATACACTCAAAATTTTACATTTTATGATAAACAAAGGGGAAAACACTTTATGAATGAAAAATAGTGACAATAGAACAGGTAATTAAGTTTAACTAGTTGAAAGGCCGAGTATGACTAGTTGATGAAAAGTCAAAATATGAGAAATATGAATAGATATTGTAAGAAATTGAGGTAAAATAGGCCAAGAGTGGGGCAGGGTGGGTTGAAAGTAGATACTCATGTCCCGCCCCATGCTACTCCGGGTCGGGTAATACTCGCCCTATCGTGGGTCAGGTGAGGATATTGTGGATTGAGCGATCTTGCATGATTTGTTTGGATGTTGGATCTAGGAGTTTAGTATGGTAGGCGAGGCGATTGTACCCCTGTCTATTAGGCGTCCACCTAGGCAATGATAGGGAGTCAAGTGCATGACCATCAAATTAACGGCCTAGTGTGCAGATGGGTAGAACCCATTTAGAGGAGAAAGGTATATAAATGCATCGTGAAGCGAGCTGAAGTGACATTGGGCTAGTGGATCGATGTAGGAGGGGGATTGGTTGCATGACCATTGAGCCAATTCTCGTATTAGCAATCTCCGCACCTCGATTATCATGGATCTTCATTAGCAGAGGTTGTTGAGGAAGCTTGTGTACAACTAGCTCACGATAATCTCTTGGCTACTACAAATATGGAGACGGTTGAAGAGGCGAGCCATGAGGACTTTGAGGAGAAAGAAGAACTTATCACGAAGAGCTTTCGTGATGATGTTGAGCAAACATGTCCTTTGGGGGTAGATCACACCCTTCCATTCTCCAGTATGAGCTTCAAAGATGCACATGAGGAAGGCAAGAAGAAGAGGTCTCGTGGGTGGAGATTAAATTCTCACCAAGTCCAAGAGTATTGATGTGTTTTAATATTTGTAAATCAAAGCGCACTCAAGTCAATCCTAACAAGGCCAAGATAACCAAGATAGGGATGTAGTAAGTGGCTCAGTCATATTCCAAGGGTCACGGTATTGTAGGCTATTTAGACTCGGTCGTTATCTAGTCAACCTGCTACTTAAAAGGTGGGGCAGTTGACGATTACTGACTCGCACGAAACTACACCACAATAAAATCCCGACTAGAGTCCAAGTTTTTAAACTCTAGTCGGGTGCAGTATAGAGCAAGTATTTAGATATCAACCCGGGCCAGTCCGTCTACCCCTACTTCGGTTGTTGAAATCATTATCTAGCTACAAAGTTTTGGTTTGAAAGTTTGCTAATTATAACAAAACAAAGCAAAGGTAAATGGGTTCGAAAACTCTTTTGTGGAAGGATCACTCGGGTGTCGCTTCCCCCTAACTGCTACCATGATATGTGAATTGGAACAATCGGCTTGGGCACGGTAATACTGAACCGAAGAGGGATGCATATATGGTCGGAGACCACAATCTCAATTGCTAAACCGAGGTAAGCATGAAAGTCGTGTCACTCGACCCTCTCGGTTTAGACAATCGTTAATTGACTTACTCCCTCACTCAACTCAAAGGTCGGATGGTTTAATCGCAATTAACTTATTTTCTTAAGTCAACATTGAGGGTTGCCTAGAAAGCGGAAGGAAAACCAACTCGATTGAGTCTCCCTTGGAAGGGGGATTTTCCTCTCTAAGCTAGGCTAAGGTGGCTAATTAGATTGCTAGCACTAAAATGCACAAACCTAAGGGTGATAAGCACAATTGTGCACAATCCTTAGGTTGTTAAGCACCTAAATGCACAAACCTAAGGATGCTAAGCACAAAACATGCACAACCCCTAGGTTGCTAAGCACAAGCATGCACAATCATGATAAATAATGCCTCAATCATTGAATAGAACAATACCCAATGACAATCATCCAATACACATAAAAGAAAACTACATGGTAGAGTTAGGGTTTCACAACACCCAAGTTAAAGGAGGTCTACTCCATGCTAGAAGTGGGAAAAACAAAAATGGAAAGAGGTGGAAACCATCTTAGAGGATGCTCCCAGTATTCTTGGCCCTTGACTTGAGCTTTCCTTGGAGGAAATATTCCCAAAATCTGCCTTGGAGCAAAACCCTAGCCTTCTTCTCCCTTTGGTTCGTGTTTCTCTCTCTAGAATTCCGAAGAATGCTTCTCTCACAAAATGGGCTCTCCCCTCTCTCCTCCTTTCAGCTCATCATTCAAACCAGAGACGAGCTGAGTTCACGGCCGTAAACCACGAAACGCGTTCGTGAACTGCAGGCGTGCGCCAAAACGCACCGCTTCGAGCTCTTTTGTTCACGGTCAACAGCCTTCGTTCACGGTCTTAGTAACCGTGAACTCACCTTGCGTTAGTAACCTCTGTTTTGTCTCTGGACGCCTCGCGATTCACGGTCAAGGCCTCTTCTTCACGGTCATGCAAGACCGTGAACTTCCTTGGTTAGCCGTGAACTGGCCCTTTTTCACCTCTTCTCCCGGTTTCCGATCTTTTTTGCCCAACTTTTGACTCCGAGGCTGGTTTCACCTGTTAAATCCTGAAACATACTAAAACACGAGGAACCTAGCATAAAACCAACCTTTTAGAAGCGAATTTGGCACAAACACCTAAGTAAAATGTGGGCAAAACATGTACAATTAGGCCCGAATCAATTACTGACCTAGAGATCGATAAAAGAGAAGAGGTACTTGCTGTAACTCCCTCACCCTAATCTTAGGTTCAGCATGAAAATGGTTAACTATGTTGGGTTTGCAGGATAAGGACCAGAACTCGCTCAACTGAGGGTTTAAATGATTACTTTCCCTCCTCCTAGTGCGATCCAAGAGACCCATTGTCACCTCAGTTAAAGATCATGTACTATGGATGCTCTCTTAGTTCCTCTCAATAGGTTCAACCTATCATGCATACTAGAGCGATGGGTTGATGACCCTTGCATCATGTCTAGCATTGCTCAGGAGGGTGTTCCTTTAGTAGGGGTACGGTCGGCTCGTCCACTAGGAAACCCTAAGATCATTCATCTACCACTAATTAGCCATAAGGCTTTCAAATCCAATCTAGACCTTAAACTCCTAACTTATTCAAACTACTTAGTGGTAGACTAGAAAAGAACAGTTGGAGAGACAAGCCCCAACATAATCAAGCATAAATGAAGCTTATAATCAATGAAACAAACAAATCCATACACAAAGCCTAGCAAAATTACATATACATTCAAAAAACTAATTCTATGGTTTGGGGGTTTTAACCCCTCATACATTGGAGAACTTGGGGGGGGGGGGGGGCAGTGGCGGATACATGCATGGACACCCCTAAAATTTGGAAATACGATTATTCAACCTACGATAGTAATTTACGTATAAGAAAAAAAAATGTTTAAGTGGTTGTGGGACACCTTTAAAATTTGGGAAAATGATTATCCAAACTCCCGTAGTAGTTTGCGTATTGGTATAAATAATATTTAAGTAGTAGTTTATGTGTTTAAATTTGGGATACTGTCACTATTTGTTAATATATTTTCAATTACGCTACAACTCATTTGTTATATCTAACCTTACTTCAATTGGAACACGTTATCTAATGATCGATTTGTGGTTAAAGCTAAGGAAACTAAACAAATTAAACTAGCAAGCAATAAAACTGTAGTGAAT